CTGAACCTAAAAAAACAGTCATAGGTAAATGTTATCTTCTTGGCTCATTTAGTCATCAGTGGAAATTAAAATTTCAAATCATGTCAGAAAGAACTGTTTCAGACTGCCAGCCAAGAAGCAAAAATTAAAAGGATGGCTGAATTGGCAGCTTAACAATGGGCAAATACCTGTGCCAAAATATAGTCTGTCGTCTTCTGGTTGCTGTTTTGCATCATTATGGCAGTGTAAACTGGCTGAACTTCTCTTTACAGCCATAGTATAGTGGAGTTCAGACTGTATGGAGTACAAGGTATCTTCCAAAAAATCATTTACCCGAGCAGTGTGATTATTCAGATCCTTAATGTAGCCCACTTCACAGCACAGCAAAAAGGGCATGTGCTTGAATTGCAAGACAATTGAATCAGACCCTGAGTGGAAATACTTGCAATTCAAATAGCTTTGGTTGCCTAATTTGATCTAATCTTATAAACCAGGCACATGGCAGCACCTGGGGATATTGCAGCCTCCGCTGTTGATACCAGCCCTGCCTCCGCCGTGTTCTGCGCAGCGCTGGGGCTGCGATGGCTCCTGCTGCCCGTGTCTCTGCCTGCTTGCTTTTTCGCACCAGATGCCTCTCCATCCACTCTCTGCAGCCGTGGCTTTTGTTTTAAATGCTTCCCCTTCTCCGCTTTTCAGTTCTTCTCCTTTTGTGGTGCCAGTTGCCACTGCCTGTATGTTAATTGTATGTTCCCAGTGAACAGGTTGGTTCCTGTTGCCTGTTGTGATCCCTTGCTGAATATTCATTTTGGTGTATAAACATTACAAAAGCAGAAAGAGAGAACATTTGTGAGCAGCTGTTGCCAAATATCTGGTCAGCTAAGAAACTGAAGACACTGTATTCCCAGAGAGCCCATTTAATTCAACATTTCAAGGTTTTATGATATTTGTTCTGAAAGCAAAGTGCAGATGTATTTGTTGTTCACATTGTGACAGGGAACAGTAAAAGAGCAAGAAAAGATCATTTAAGCTTATAAATGATTTATGATGGCTTAAGCATTATAGGAAAATGCATGCTCGCTTTTCCTGAATCACTGTTGGCCACATAAAAACATCCAGGGATTGTCCTTTGAGAAGTTCCTTAAAATGTGTCAGTCAGCGTCTGCTCTGAGAGAGCCCTCTGTTCAGGCTCTCCGCGGTGGCCGTCCGGGGCTGCCCAGGTCACTGCCCCCCCGGACACGTAACTGCTTGGGTCTGGCCATCATCCAACGCCGCTGCGCAGCCTGCAGAGCTCCCATTGCTGGAGAAGGGCCCCAGTTAGACAGTTAGCTGGTGAGGAGGAGTGTGGCTTGAGAATCTTCTGCATGGGAAGAAACGAAGGCAATTTTAGCCAAGTGGATATTAAACCTCAGGAAGCAACTTGCATTTATGAAATATTTTGTGTAGGACTTGTGTATGTCCTAAATATCTCTTGCAATCTATGAAGTAAGTAATATTTACACTTGCAGGCATAAAATTATGTGCTTCAATATCCAGTGTCAAATAATAAATTGAAGAATAGATTTCAGGAGTGCTAGCCTTGATTTCTCTATCTTCAGCCTGTGCTCTCTGCAGTGTTTCATGCAACAGAGCCTGTTCTTGGTTTTCTTCCTGGGTAAAGGCGAGAGAAATAACAAAAGATGTTTTTATTACAGTGTAACTGTGAAAATTCTCTCGCTTCTTTTCAGATTGGGAAGAAGAACAAGTCAGCAGTCCAAATATCTTGCGGCTTATTTATCAAGGGAGGTTTCTTCATGGCAATGTGACATTAGGAGGTATGAAAATAATTTTCATTATGCATGTTACAGCCAGGCAAAGGGGATATTTATTTGTAGTGCAGTAAATACTACTTTACTGTTCAAGATCGCAGTATGGCTTGCTATGTACTATTTTTCCTCTGCATAGAGTGACATTGTATCTTATTGTGTATTTTTCCATCTTGTTACCACTAGTTGTTAAACTTTGGGAAATACCACCTGCTAAGTCAAGTCTCCTCTTGCATAAAGAAACAGTAATGCCGCTTTTATTTGTTGTCTTTATAAATGGAATATTTTGTTCCACCTCTCTTACACTGCGCTTGCAGGGTAAGCTAGTTCATAAATGTCTGAAGTATTTTAAATTGTTTGATAAACTTTATGATAATTGGTTAAACAATACTTTAAATCTAAGTGCAATGAAGGAAGACACCCTATGAATGAGAATGAGGGGAAGCATTCTTGCTGTCCAGTGCTCTCCCAGGGATACAATTGCATAGTTATGCGAAAACAAAAGTAAATGGCTTCACGTCATATGCTAAGGAAATGCAATTCAACTGTGCCCCCTTGTGGCAAGTTTTTTCCCACAATTACATATTTTGATGGGTGTCTTTGATAGAGCTATGACACGAATTTGTAACAATAAACTTTCCTTTTGTAGATAAAAGTTGCCGCTGTGAATATCAACTGTATCAATGACTAAACAAAATGAGACTCTCTGCCAGTTTAAAAATAAATTAATACTTCTGCTTTCTCTGTATGTTCAGGTTCATGCATTTGGTACTTGAGTGCAACACGGAGAGGAGAATATAATACAAAATCACTAATGAAATGTTTTTGAAGTTAAGATGAACCTGCAAAGAGTATTTCTGGACTGCTTATGGTGATCTTTCCATGAAGAAGTAACTGGGATGATATAGCCATTGATTGGCTTTCTACCATTACCGATGTTGGCTAGTGATGTACTTTTAGAATAGATTTACTCTCCATATAAATAATTTTTTTAATGCTGCTATATATACAAACAAGATCATTGTCAATTCAGCTGGGAGAACTCTGAAATTTGTATTCACTCTTTTAATTTGTATGTTTACTAGGTACTAATGAGTGCAGCTAGCAGCGGTTGGAGTAGGGTTGAAAGACAAATTTGATCATCTCTGTAATTAGAGATGCTAGTCTTACCCTACATTTTCCAGGCAAGGATAGCTAAATGGGATTTTCTTTGCCATTCATCTCTAGGTGTTGCTCTTAATCACCAGTGCTTGTTCCCTTTAGTGACATTTGTCTAAATACAAAACAACTTTGAATATTTGTTTAATATATTTAATGTATTGTTTAACGAGTTAAGCTGAAAAATAATAGCTGCATGCTGTTGACTCTTGCATTAACTCAGGTCTATGGATTTTGAACACTTACTTGGGTTCAGGACATTTTAGTTCATTCTTAATCATTCATGCGTTGCAATTTAACCGTCATGATTTTACCCTAAGGATCTTAGATGTATGTTAGTGTTTTTCAAAGATTTTTTTGTTGCTGTATTGTTTTAAGAAAAAGAATCCCTAAAACATGGGCTTACTTCAGTACTAATGGAGTTATCTGGAGTAAGATTATACGGCAGAAAGGGGAACAGCAATTCATGAAGCAGCCTGGAAAGACTGTTACTTCAGTTTGTGGTGTTCATTAGATGTAACCCGAAGTGAACTGGTTATCTTCAAAAGGGGGAGGGGCGAGGAAGGGAATTTCTTGCTAAATACAGTATTTAGTTTCTTATGCTGTTATGATATAGTTCCATTAAGCTTTTCTATCTGCAGCTCTCTATAACGGAGTTATAGCACTTAGTGTTTTATTTGCTTTAGGTGATCAGGAAATATTGACTGGAATTGGGACCTACTGTGTACTGAAAGTCACTTTATCAACTAATGAAACAAAAGTTTCCAAGGAAACAGTTTGGTGGTTTCTTTTTTAACAGGAGCCCATTTTTGTTCACGTTTAAAAATGACTTCGTAACGTTCTAGTTGTAACCTCACATGTCTACGTAGTGTCCTATGAATTTGAGTCCTTTAAACTAAGCAGCATCAAAAAAGTGACAAATTGATAGGAAAAACTGGCTTTTAAGTGGAAAATTTTATTTAAAAAAAAAAAAATCTCTTTTGCCAGCTTCTCTGAATGGACTGTCACTACAAGAACAGTAGAGCTAATGGCCTTGGAAGTGGTAAAGAAAAACAGACCCCTCTGTAAAGCCTGCTGTGCCACTCTTGCCTGCGGTGCTCAAGCCCCACTGTTTTGTTGTGCTCTGCCTGTGTGAAGGGTTGGGGAGTTAGCTAGCAAGGCAGAGTCTGTTGTTCGGCTTCCAACAGGAAATTTCATCCTTTAGCTAAATATCTGGTTTGCAGTTTGCATTTGAAATAATATTAATTAGGGAGGTAATACATAATTGACAGTTCTCTGTTTCTTGTTAGAGAATGGTAATCAGCAATGTTTTACTTCCTTATTTACTGGGGAGAGGGGAAGGAAAGCCAACCCACCCTTTGCCACACACATACCAAAAAAGGAGGTGAAAAGTAAATTCTGACAATAGAAAATCCGGAATAAAAGTGGAATTAAACACATGGGAAAGGAATTAAATAAAAGTTCAGTTTAAGTGAGAGAAAGGGGTGAGAGAACGAAGACAAGAGCAAGAAAGGATTATTGAGCATAGGTTAGGGTGCTCAGATTCTGTCATGGTGCTCCAAGCAAGAAGCTGGAAATTGCTCATAAGAACTTGTGTGAACTATGCAAACTACTAGCTGAAATTAGTTAATTGAAATATTAGCATACTGTTACTTGATTACTGTAAATAACTAATCTCCACAGCTCACTAATCAAGTCTCCTCAAGTGTCTCGATATTATGAAAGATGTCCCTAATGTGATTAGTTTGTAATATTTTGCTCTTTCTGTAATGGCTTCTTAAGAGTTTGTGTCATGAAGACAGTCCTTTTCCATTGAGCTTAACAGACTGTTAATATGCTCTTTGTGGAGTTCTCAGTTGTATCACAGAATCAAGTACCCAAAATACTTCATCCTTGTCAGACTTCAAGCTATCAATAGCTTCTAGATGCAGGCACAGGCAGTGCTTCAAGTAAACTAAGCAACTTTCAGATCTGACTTTCTATAGAGGTGGCTCTCCCAAAATACAGCTACTTCAAAGCAGCTAGTGGAGCTGTGTATCCTTCCGTATGCTTACTCCTGCGTTTTAACTGCATTTTTTCAAACAAATACATAGGCAATGAGCATGATTTAATAGCAGTGTTGTGGCTAGGCTTGTATTGAATACATGTAGTAACCAAACACTAGGTTTATTTATTTATTTATTTATTTTATTACTGAATTTTGAATCTATGCCGTAGTGATTAAAATAGAGAGGCATTTTTCTCTTCATTTACCTTCAGGCTTATTGGACATTCATTATTCATTTATTCACTTAAAATGCCTTGGTGCAATGTATGTGAAAATAGAAGATGTAAATGGAATTTGAGAGGACAAATTCTACTCAAGTCAGAATGATTTGTGTATTTAGGGTTAAATTCTTGTTACATTTATCACTAACGTTTTTTCTTCGAGGGTGGGGATGGGAGGACAAAACTTAGAGCATCTTTACCTTACATTTCTCAGAAAAATAATCAAGAAAGATGCTTAATGTTAGGAGTTGGAGACAGGGAACAGAACTAAAGTTATGTAAAGAACTTGTGAAAATAATTTTCCCTGTCCCCCCGGCCCCCCAAATAATTGGAAGAAGTCAAAGTTCAGAATACTGAATCTGGCAATGAGAATCTGCTAAATATTCCGAGCAACAGAGAATCCTTTCATTTCAAGCAGACTAGAAGTTTTGATGAATATTATACTACAGTACTAAAACCATAAATACAGCACTGTGTTGGTATACTTAAATCAGAATGTGAAAATTGTCGTTTTAGTTTCAGAAACAAGCAGAATGAATTGTGGAAAGCTCCAATTTTTTAATTTTGTGTTACTAAAGCTCACAAAGGCAGCATTGTGAGAACTACCTTATCTGATTCAAAATGTTTTACATTTGATATTTTTCACATGCAGCTGATGTTACAGATGGGTATTAAAAGGCAAGATGCAGACATCTTGTATTTCGGGAAATTTGTGTCATGGATCAAAGTGTATTTTAGGAAAATCTGTTTTGCAGCAGTGGCTCAGTCTTTTGGTGTCTCAGGAATAACAATTTAATGGCTGAATTAGCCACTTTTTTGCATCCTTATCAATAAAGAGTGCTTAGCACTTGAGTCTTGGCATGAATGCCCACTTCTACGTTTACTCAAAAGAGGAAGGCTAAGTTTCCTAACAGGAATATCATGTCTCTAAGAACACAATGTTTTAAGTGATTATTATCAGGTCCTAAGGCCCTGATGTACAAAACTTTAGCCAGAAATGCCTTTATAAATCTATTTAGTAAGCAGTTCAAACCTAACATTATGAACTTTTGAAGAGATGCTGATCCAATTATAGTTAGTCTCAGTTGGGTGTTTTGAAGAAAGAAGATGATTGCTCTAATGTATTAATAAATCGCCCTTTCTCCTTTTGCAGCATTAAAACTTCCTTTTGGCAAAACAACAGTGATGCATTTGGTGGCTAGAGAGACATTGCCAGAGCCAAACTCTCAAGGTACGCTGTGCACTAGAGGTATTTCTTACTCAAGTACGTGGCAAAGCGCTTGGATCTCTTAGAGGCTTTTTGAGTATTTCATAGTAGAGAAAAGTCAAGTCCTTGTGGTCTTTTGTGAAACAAGTAACGGAATGCTTTCGTACATGTTGTTTATAGAAAACTAAGAAATTAACTGTCTGGTTTAGCATTTTTGTAGAATGCAGAAATTTTACTCCAAACCTTAAAAGCTTTCATTTTCATTGTTAAAAACGACTACTGATTTATTTTTCAGTTATGTATGCATGTGTATAATAATAAATAATTTTGTCCTAAAAATAATAAAAACCAGACTTGTATCAAGTATACTGACACACAAACAACCTGATTGCTTTAGAAATGTCAGTAAGCAAAACTTCTTCTTGCTCCACAGGTCAAAGGAACCGTGAAAAAACTGGAGAAAGCAATTGCTGTGTAATCCTGTAAACCCTGTTAGCTTTACCTGCTAAGTGTGATGTAATATAGTCTTTGTCTTTCATGCTGCTGGAATAGAAGAGGCCCTACCTTGCTTCAAACACCTGTAGGAAGAGCCTGTCTGTAAATCCATGGAACTGAAATATTACATGAACACTGTCTCGTTAGTCTTTTTTTTTTTTTTTTTTTTAAAAACGAGAAAGACCTATGAACACTTTCATTGTTGGGGTTTTTTTTCCTAATTCCTGCTTTTTGTTTGTTGAATAATCTTACAGTACATCAGTTCTTGAAAGAATTCAATCTCCAGAGAAGTTAATGTGTTCTTTTTCATAGCAGGAATCATTTTGCTACCACAAAAACCTCCATTAACCGGATCTAACCAGTCAAGCTTTCTAGATGCAATTTGCACTAAATATGGTTGACAGTATATTTCTCATCAACACTCTCTAACAATATTTGAGACACCTAGTAATAACCTACAATGTATAATGCAACACTGGAAAATAGTATATCTATAATTAAAACAAATCTCACTTATGGCCAAATCAAAGGAAAAACTGTTAAGTCAATTCTACCTAAGTCAACCTTGGTGGCCGAACTGGCACAGAATACTAACTAAACCAAGTCTAACTATATATATTTTCATTGCAACAAACAAAAAAAACTATGTGCCTGTAATTTAAAAGCACTCTGTAGAGGGCTGATGAAACTGATTTTTTCATTACTGCGTGCACTCTGATCTCATATGTTAGTTGAGTGCTTATTCAGACAGCACAAACAAGTGCAGAGAGTGCATTTCCTAGCCTTAATATGGGAGGGGTAATTTCCTGTAGTTCATAGGCTTTATTATTGTGCATAAATGTTAGAAAACATCATTTACTAATCAATTTTATGTATTTGAATATTGGCAATTGGTGTTTTTCAGTCATTTTCTCATGTGTAACTTAGTGTCCAGTGTCATGCTTACTCATTAGAGACTTCAAGAATTATTAAAGTTTAAAAAGCAAAAAGAAAAACCTCTGCCATAGTACTAGTTTTGTTTCTTTACGTAATCTGCATTTGGTATTAGTGCTTGCAATTGTATTAAAATCAGACGCTGATTTTTGAAGGCATACATAATTAAAAAGGATGCCATTCTTTTATTTCATATCAATAATTTAAACGTTGATATGCTAAAGAAATTTGCACAGCACTAAAGCATGAGCTAGTTTCATCTAAACCTGTAAAAAATAAAAATAAATAAAAATTAAAAAAATATAAAAGATTTTATATATTTTCACTGGGGAGGAATTCTTCCTGGGTGAAATTACAAATATGTGTAGAATATATTTAATAAAAATCTTATAAAATACATAACTATAGAAGTTAAATAGAGATTGGCGTGTAGTATAATAGAACAATATTCCATATAAATAGCTTTAGCCTTTAAAAAAAATGAGTCACAGGTTGACATTGTGTTCTGTACTTAAGTGTCCACAACTCTTACAGATGTTCTGTGTAATCGTTTTTTCGAATGATTGGCATCATTCAAATGTAATCAGGTTATTTTATTCATTGTTACTGCTTTGATGAAATGCTTTATATGCAGTAGATTTACAAAAATATTGTTCATACTGATCAGAATTAAATTTGTATAGAGCAGAGTTTTAAAACAAATTGTAAATAGCACTAAACATTTTCTTTCTGCAACCTGTACTGATAGACTCTTCTGTAAACTAAATAAAAGAATATTGTAGTGCATTTTGGTGGTGTTTTAAGGGTTGTAATTGGGTCTGTAACTACTTTTAATAATACTTCTTCATCTGGAAACTAAGGACGGACTCCATTTTATTTATTAAAAAAAAAAGGGAGGGGTCAAAACCTGCTGAAAACTGCTAATGGGATTTATCACTTCAGTTTTGTTTCCCTTTCATGTCAAAAGAAGTGGCCTAGAGGGTTGGGGTTTTTTTTCTGTCGGAGAAGAATGTGAGCATGGACAGTTGCAGTTGCAAATGTACAGCCGTGTCACACCCTCGTGCACCTCACGAGTTATGTGCTCATGCTGTAAGCTTTTGCAGTCTTCACTTCCAGCGAAGAGCACGCACATAGCGCTTAGGGTGCTGGGAACTCTGACAGCATTATCATGGGCTCATTGCCTAAATGAATCTCGGTGGGGGAGATTTCCTTGTACTCTACAGTGTAATTCCTAACTAAGTAACTACAGGGATACAAACCTTATTTAAAAAAAAAAAAAAAAAAAAACCAAACCAAAACGGTTTGCTAAACATCACCTTGAGAAAGCTACTAGGAGCATGTTATCTTTAACTATGAAATGAAACTTGCCTCTTCCAAAATGCTGACCGCCTAAGGAACACAGGCTCAGCTGGGAAGTGGCTATGACAATACAGGAAAAAAACAGGCTGAGGCAGGACATGTTTTGTTAGTTAAACAAGTCTTTCAGATACATTGATTTTGAAAAATGAATGTTTGAAATGTAATCTTGGTTTGAAAAGGTAGCTAGGTACTTAATACGGTAGAAGTACATGAAAATCCAGTAGCTTCCAGTTAAAATATTTGGCAAGCCTGAATAGCAAAGTATGTGGAGTTCCCTTTTGTTGAGATGAATAAGATGTGTACATGCACATGTCCAAGCAAATCCTTAAATGCTGCCTGGCATTTAAAGCGTGAGCTTGCCAAAATAACTCCTGCAGAAAGCAGGTAGAACCGTTGCCTTAATTTTCCTGCAAATTGCCAGAGTTCTGCCCACTGCAGAGCGTTTCTGTGGTGTGAGGCTGGTGGAAAACTGGGGGGGAGAATTGCTAAAAGATTTGTGCTTTTTTTCCTTGGATTCTTTGTGTTGTGGATTGTATATTTGCCAAAACAAAAGCGGTAGCTCTTAATCCCAGATTCCTCAGCCTTGCTGAAGTTCATGCGTATGTTTCTCTTCTGTGTTGCTTGGAGCCAAGAGGATGCTTGCAGCCTACAAAGATTAAAGCTAGGTCTTTGCAGGGTCAGGCTGTTGGACAGTCTGGTAATATGTCGAAGAGTTTGACGTTTGATTTTCACTGTTAGGTAGAAATGATATTTTCCCTGTGGATGAGTTAATAGATGTCATGCAGGAAGGGAGGAGAGGATGAATTGGAGCCCTTCGTATTCTGAAATACCATGAAGGGACCGCATCTGTCTCCCATTCCATTGTGTGTGTTATCAATCATAAATTAATATTCACACATGTGAGGAATAATATCTGGTAGCAAAGAAAGTACTCTGTAACTTCTGTTTTCTTAAGTGATAGCAAAAATATGACTGTTGACACAGTCTTAGGGATTAGCTCAGCTGCTGGAGGAATAAAATATGGCCACTGTCTTGTTAAAGGCTGTGCTAAGGTGCTGCATCGATATTAATGCAGCGGTGATCTCTGCAGTCTGCGTTCCTTAGTACACTGCATTTACCGCAGGAGGAACAGTGATTTAATTTCGAAGAGAAGTACAGGGTGCTCTGATAAAGCTTCCTTCCTCTCTCACAGGTGAGCAGGAAGGCGGCAGCCGTTTCTGGGCTGGCCAAAAGTCGGGATTTTCTGCTGCTGCTCTTTGGGGAAGTAAAGCTTGTGTATTTTGTGGTTCTGTGCGTGCTCCGATAAGATTCGTTATACAAATCGTACTTCAAGAAGCAAATAGGAAGATGGATATACTTCTCCATCTAAAACTCTCTCACTGACTTTATGCTAATTAAATGGGTAAGCTTAAGCAGATTTTGGGTTATATGTGCTGTCTGAATTGACCATTAACAGCAGTTGCAACATTGAAACCGATGGGACTTCGGTGCTTCGGTCGGAGGAAATGTCAAGGTCTGTTAAGATTCTTAAAGGAGAGTTCCTACCCTCTTTATTTCTTCTGAAGTACTTACATGCTTCCCAGATACTCTATCTTGGCCACAACTTGTCAGTATCGAGCTCATTTTCAGAGCACAGTAAAAGGCCTTTGTTGTTATTCAAGAGGCTGACAGCAATATATCGTTCATGGTAAGAAGTTGTTAAAAATCCTCATAAGGTAGTAGCATACTTTTCCTTCTGTGCCACGTGTACATACCTGTGAAGGGGTGTACAATGTAATAGCTAATTTGCTTACCAATTTATTATACTAGACTGTGAAAGTACAAAGACCTCTTTATGCTCTGTGTTTTTCCAGTAGTTATGATTGACTTCTGCTTTTTTTTTAAATTGATAAGGTTTTGGGTTTTTTTCTTTTTAATTAATCTGGAAAAGGAATGACCAGTGAAATAGAAAATGGTGAAGGTTATTGAAGTCAAGCTCACAACAATAAGGAGAATTTAATGGTACCTTATCAAGCTCATGGAATGGATCACAGTGAGAGATGAAGATAAATTTTGACTGTAAAGGACAGCATAGTTAGAGAAAGCAAAGTACTCGCACAGCTCTGAGTTTTAAAATTACCTGGATCAGTCCAGGACTGAGTTCTGGGCATCGTGGGCAAACACTTTGTATTGCAAGTTCCTTAGGGTTTGGAAAATGGTAACAAAAATAATGAGACAGCAGAAATATTAGAGAGATTGAAGAGAATGAGAGATTAAAATAGCTACAGTTATGACTAACACAGAGAAAATGGCTGGAGAACTTCTATTTTTGTCTCGTAGCTTTATTGGCCCAGTTTTTACATTTGTCTTTAAAGCAGAGGTGACAAATTCAAATCCGATAGAAACGTTTTTCATTAAATCAATGGCTCCCACTTCCACCAGAAGTAATTTGAGGAGGAAAGCAGAGCAAGATTTAAAAGGAAAATGGAACATTCTATCAATGAAAATTGATAGAATTTCCAGAATTATCATAATCAGTGATGCCAAACTTTTTCTCAACAAGGTAGTCATTTTTGTCCTTCAGGCATTACGTTAACTTTCAATGGAGAGCCCGACTCTTAGGGGGAAGGTACTCCTGGCACGTTAGCACCTCCGTTACGTACAAGCGACGGCGTGAGGCGAGCCCCAGCCTGTGCAGGGGCAGTGTGTCGGGCACCCTGGGAAGAGTTCATCTGTACCCACCTGCTGCTTCCTGAGAAGAACTGTTGCTCGGAGTCGAGGTGATGTTTGCGCTTTCCTGGAGCAGGCCTGAGGGAATAAGTTACCGTGCGTAGCTGGTGGAGAACGTGAACTGCAGGTCCCTCAGGCAGAAGTCAATGCCTCTTGAGCGGTGCCAGATGAAAGCACCCCGCTTTTATCAGTTCAGAGGATGCTGAATTTATAGGTGGTAAATGTTTTGACTCTTCTACCAGAAAATACTCTTCAGCTACTACTTTTTTTTTTTTTTTATAGAGGCAGAGTAATGGGATGAAACAGAGAACGATTTTCTTTTTGTGCTTTTACCTATTCTTTGAACTAAAGATCAGAAAGAAATAATGGGAGAAGTTTTAGGTGCCTACCGTAGGATCAACCATTAAATGGCTGGTCAAAATTCCCCTAGCAGCAGCTATCCATGCCACAAGGAGCAGCTGTGGGAAAGAGGTGACCACTGCCCACAGCGTGGCAGCTCTAACCGCCAGGCTGAGGTGGCTAAGGTCGTGAAGGAGGGGCAGAAGGGAGCGATATTTGGTCGCTTCATGAGGCTTTCAGTTGTTACCTGGCAAAAAAGGGGGTAGGGTCTTGTACCAGTCATTGGGGGGCAGAATAACAGCGTGGAACTACTTGCAGAGGTTAGATTTTTTTAAAAAAATAATAATATAAAAATAAATCCATGATACTGGAAGTCAGCTATGCTGGATGGATGATACTGCACTTCCAGACCAAGACGGGGAAATACGTATTGGCGTCTGTGTTATGTGCATCTGTCTGTTACCTGTGCTGGCTAAATTAAATAAAGATTGAGTTTCAGTTCTTTAATTCCTGCAACTCACACGTGTCGCTAAATAAGGATCGTTAATCCTCGGTGCTGCCAAGGTTACGGCTCTGCCGTAGCAGGCAGCGGAGCTGGCAGGGAGCTCACACCTTGCAGCCTCGATGAGTGAAAAGTCAGCACCGCAACTGCGCACAGCGGTGCGAGATGAAAAGCACGTAGGTTGTAAGTGGGAGGAAATGTCAACGTGGCAAGTCAGCAAGTGCCCAGGCAAGGGAGCCCTACCAAATCCACGCGACCGTGCCAGCAGCTGAGCGTCCTGCCTTTCAGTGAAGTAAATTCAGTGAGTATTCTTCTGGAAAGCAAATACGCAAGAGGCTTCTCTTGCACTCTTGTGTTAACTAAGCGATCTCAGCCAAATCGTTTGGTTCCTGATCACCCTGATTGCCAGCACCCCAGGGAAAGGTCTTCTCTCAACAAACAGATACGAAGGCTGCCTCAGACTCCATTTTTCTTGTCCTCTGAGCAATGACCGTCTCTGGCTTCATCTCCAAAGTCTTCAAGCTTCCCATTGTTCTGATTTTCTTCCAGCCTGGTGCTTCTGGCTGCAGACGGCAGTGATCACTGCTGGACACCTGCTCTACTGAGCTGAGTCCACAGCAAGGACTGGAAAAAGACGTCGCCAATGTGGAAGCAGTGTGCCTCTGCAGCAGGCTCTGCTGAGCTGCGGACGGGACTCCTCCGTGGCTCTGGTCATTGATGGGCAGTCTGAACTGCCGAGAGGAGAGGACCAAGCTTTGAGTTTCCAAGCCAAGGGCAGACCCACCTTTCGTGACACCGTGGCCAGGCCCCAGCTCCAGCTGCGTCTGCTTCTTTCAAATTGGGCAAGACTGAGTGTTGCAGCAAAGAACCTCACTGG